CAGCATAAAATCGCATAGCACGGCCACTCTGGCTCATAAACTGATCTGATCTTTATCTATAGTTGGTAACAGGTCTCCATGAGACCTGGTTGCTACAGGTCCGGAAAAGGTAACCTTATCATGGTCAGGGAATGAGGTAAAATTGGGAATTTAAGAAAAGTTCAGGAAACTTAAAATTATTATCGCTGAACTCATCATATTTTTGGTGTTTTTTTCGTCTCGTTGTAGCCATGATAAAAATAGCGTATTGTGATAGTCATGCACAGGGAAGGCTATGATGGAAGACTGGATGCTTCCTCTATGTTTGTTAGATTATCTAAGCATGTGGTCTGAAAAACATTTTTATCAAGGAAATCTTGAAAAAAGGACTTTTGAAAACTGAGAAGTGGGTAACGGTGGGATCTAAGTAAGGTCCTGGGAATGAGCTCACGTGGACACTTAGCGGCTCACTTAAGGAACAGAGCTTAGGGTAATGAACCACGTGAATGAAAACATCGTAATCAATTATATTACCTCCCTTGCAAGGCGAAACCCAAGAAAAACAACATTTGCGATTGAAGCCAGTTTGTTCTCCTTTTTGAAAATAGGAAGGAAATGTAATTGTTTGTGTGTTGTCGGTTTTTCTTTAGAGGATATACGTGGCAAGTTCTCGTCAGCTGAAAAGGATTGAGTCTGTCAGTCGTTCACCGATATATAACAATTTTTTGGAGACCATCAACGGAACTTCCACTATCCGAGCCTTTGCTCAGCAACAGCGCTTCATACAAGGCAACTACGCCATTGTAGATGAGAACCAAGTTTCATACTATCCCTCAATATCATCAAATAGGTAAAAAATATAGTGATGGCAGAATGCCAAGGCGGCTACTCTTATAAGTGATCAAGTACTTACTATCGGGTCCATTTTTCAAATAGCCCCTAATGCTTTTCGGGTGTTCTTTGTTACTTTTTCAATCCCAAACACTTTAACCTTTTTTTCGGTTAGAACTTTCAGTTCTCCAGTATCTGAGAAAACGCAAAGGTTGTGCAAAGAATCCCCTTATTCGCCATTTAATTCATACATCACTTAATTCATTCATTCACTCACTCAGTCAATCAGGGATTCCCTCTCTCTCTTCCTTGAACAATATATCTACTTATTTATATATATATATATATTTTTTATTTTCAGGTGGCTCGCTATACGTCTGGAGTTTATTGGTAACTTGATCATATTTTTCGCCGCTGTTTTTGCTGTCGTTAGCCGCAATTCTTTACAAAGCGGTCTCGTCGGCTTGTCCGTTACGTATGCTTTGCAGGTAAGTAGTTGACTTGTCGTGGTGCTGAATCATTAAAAAGTGACAACAATGGCTATTACTATCTGATTGTACTACAGCCAAGCGAATGTCTGAAGTGCTTCTGTACTGTTTTAAAAACCTCGAGCAATCCTATCCGTCAATCGGATGTAGAAGTGAAAAGTAATCTCGACATACCTTTTTTTGTTTTTCTTCTCCAGCGTCTCTGGAGTTGGTTTGTTATTTCTTTGAGTTCTCATGGGCACCTTGTGAAATTTTGTTTTTTTCTAACTCGCTTTTGTAATAACTTTGGATTTGGCTTTTAAGTGCTCAAAAGAAATCCGCTCTAAAATGGTTTCCATCGAGACACCGATTGTTTTGTTTCTGGGAACTAGCGAAGTCGTGTTCTGCTTGGACTTAACAAACGAACCGAAGCAAATCAACTCAAGAACAACTTTCAAGATCCAAAACAAAAAATTTAATAGAAATTCTCGAACTAAACAAGATTTCTTTGAAGAAAAGTCTTAATAAACTTAACAATAGAGCGTTTTTCTTGTTGCAAGGTAACCCAAACGCTTAACTGGATGGTGCGAATGAGCAGTGATCTGGAGACGAACATTGTATCGGTAGAACGAGTGAAGGAATACTCAGAAACTCCAACTGAGGTGTGGTTTGATCTTATAACTGATAAGACATTTATGCCATGTGAAAAATTGTCCCATTGCTTTATAGACGTTAATCTGGCTACGTTTGGTCTGGTATTAAAGTGTTCCTTAAAGGGATCGTGCGGATCATGAATCTGGAAAGACATGGATTTTTTTTTAATTGTGGTGGTGTTTATTTAATATTGCGTTTATGGTGTGGATGCTTTTTTAGGCTGAGTGGATTATTCCAGATAATCGACCCTCAGAGGACTGGCCCGAGGCAGGAAACATTGTCATAGAAGAGTTTGACTTAAAATACAGAGAAGGTTTACCTCTTGTGCTGAAGCAGATCAATTGTGATATTAAACCGGGAGAAAAGGTGTGTTGAAAACATTCTGTATCAGAAGAGAAAACCAGTGCACGTGTACCGAGAAATTCGACAGTTTCATAGCTAATGGTTTGCAGTCTTCCTGTACTGATCACTGAGAATGTATCATAAACACGGCTTGTATTTTCTTCTTAACTTTAAAGCGTTTTATTTTCATTAATCATCTAATTGATGGTCATGAGAGATAGGATTGAAGGGCTCAAAGGAAAGCCTTCATCTTTCAACACCTTCTGGTCGCCATATTTTTTTCTTTGCCTATATTAATCTAAGCAAGGTTTTCCCTGACAACTGCACTTATCACGGAAACCTTCCTAGTAGAACTGCAGTTTTACTTACGAAGTTTACATACATTTCAGGTCGGTATCGTCGGTCGCACAGGTGCAGGCAAGTCAACTCTTACTTTAGCCTTGTTTCGTATTCTTGAGAGGGCTGGTGGACGAATTGTTATCGATGGTGTGGATATCGCCAAGATTGGTCTTCAGGATCTGCGGTCACGGCTTACTATCATTCCACAGGTAGACTAAAATACTTGGGCACTACATAAGTTTGCATCTTGAGCATATAGATTGGTGAACCTATGTCACTGTGTTGACGGAAGTAAAGGATGACAAGCTATTAATGGTTTTGATATCACTGATGAAATTCTTTTTTTAGAAAACGTATTGTTATTGTACATAGAATTCAGTTATGGCTGTCTCACCATTTTTGTTTGTTTGTTTTTTTTTTTTTTTGCGATGTAGGATCCCGTGCTGTTTTCTGGAACGCTACGTGTCAATTTGGATCCGTTTGACAGTCACACGGACGAGGAGCTTTGGAAGATTCTAGAGATGAGTCATTTGAAGAACTTTGTTTCAGGACTGGAAGAAGGTCTTTTACATCCCGTGACTGAAGGAGGCGAAAATTTAAGGTAATATGTTTGGAATGATGAAGGGCTAACGCTCGAAACGTCAGCTTTGGAACTCTTTACGGCGGCCAATTTACGTTTTCAACTCAGTTGATAATACTAAATTACCCTGATATACTCTCCCACCGACGCATCACTACAATTTCTTTAGAAACTTACCCCCTTTATTCATATTTTCTCACCCTGCTCTAAGTGCTTATCAATTAAGAAATAGCCCATTTCCAAGATTCTCAAATCCACTGCTTTAAAACGAGGTAAAGTTTAAAGCATTTGATGAGAAAATGACTTTTATATTTGTATGTACATAAAACTTACTGCGTCTGAAAAGTCTTGCACTCGTCTTCATTTTGAATGTTGGGATTTTTCGGATATTTTTACTGAATATTCAGAGATAATCGGTCATTTTTGTCATTCTTTCAGTGTTGGTCAGCGGCAATTGGTGTGCTTAGCACGTGCGCTGCTCCGTAAAAGTAAGATCCTGGTTCTAGACGAAGCCACAGCCGCAGTGGACCTGGAAACTGATGAACTCATCCAGCACACGATTCGGCGAGAGTTCGCTGACCGCACTGTGTTCACCATTGCTCACAGGCTCAATACTATTATGGACTATACAAGGTAAAGCATTCCTTAGTTAATACTTCTCTTTGCACTCGTTACATGTCTCCTCACATGTTGATGCATTAAGGATAAAGCTTTTTCCAGGGGTGATAGAATGGAGGGGGAAGGTGAGCTCCAGTCTAGAAGTAATGCCTCTTTTGCTTAATATTTGTACAGTACTGAATGGAAACTTAACTGAATTCTCATTACGTGGCCGTGGCACTTTTGGTTTCCTTCTGTGAAGGTTATGCCCAGCCGGAAATATGAATATTCAAGTCGCATATCTTTTGGATGAAATTAGTGAATTCTAATTCATGTGCTATCAGCAACTGCGAACCTACCCCTCCCTTAACCCAACAACAGTCAACCGATAACAAGTTTGGGTTAATATTGGGTTAGGGGAGGGGTAGGTGCATAGTTGCCCAGATTCTGACTTTGATCCCTTTTTTTCCTCAAGAGGAGGAGGTCTCGGAGTGAACAGAACTTTGCACTGAGTGATATGTGAGTCTATTGTTGTTGTTTTTTTCAGGATCATGGTGCTGGACAAAGGTTTCATGATGGAGTTTGACACTCCACAGGCTCTTTTGGCTCAACAGGGAATCTTCTACAAAATGGCTCGTGACGCTGGACTAGCTTGAGAAGCTAGGCAACTCATGACGGCATCACAAAGCGAAAGTGCCTCTGAAGGAAATCGGGAAGAGTGGCTACGTAGGCATTACTTTTGAGCTGATGCACGATGCGCTTATGTTATCACTGACCTATCGGAAAGGATATTTTAACAGTATTAGCGTAAAAAGAAAAGGGAATGATATCTGCGATTTGGGTCCTAGCAGACAACTTGGCGTGAATTGTGTGGTGTTGGGCTGATCTCGATTAAGGGAATGTTTATTTGGCGATTACAATTGTTTTGCGTCCGTGCTCTTGAATTGCCTTCTCCATGATATTCTTATCCACGACAAAAAATTCATTTGGAAAATTATCCTTCCCCTTTTCACTTCATCTATGTCTTTCCCGCTCCCCAGCCCCCCTTTTCCTCTCCTCAACCCCCATATATTGGTTTCAGGATTTTCTTGGCAAGATTTGTTGTCCCTCTCTCTCCTCATCCAGTCCAGGCTTTAAGAAGTGTTCTATGTTGTCTACTTTTGGCCGGACGTGGTGTTATAAGGAGTCCTTAAGTGATAACAGAGTCAGTGTCAAACACAAAGTATATTTATTAATGAAAAACTGTATTCAAACAACCAGAGAACATTACTTTTTAAATCTAATCTTAATATGACACGTTTTAAAAATAACGTGGTCATCCTCATGACGTGATGTAAACAGATATGGTTTACATTCCATAACATTTCTATCTCTCCAAGGCTTTCTTCATCACAGTATTTTAAACTAGGAATTAAACTTAAGTATTATATTTACAGAATCTGGTTTTTTACTAATGGCTATGGACCAATAACAAGGAACATAGTTTTTGGTCTGTTTTTGTAAATATAACAGATTTAACAAATGCCAACGAATTGATTATCTGTAAAACTACCAAGATTCTCATGATCTTTATTCGTGAGAACATTGTGAGGAGAAATGTGATACAATCAATCTTGGAGTCTAAAGTGTTAACCATTATATAACGAGATAACAATTAATGACATTGCAAAGGGCTTCACAAAAACGCATGATGGCACAACCACCTAAGTGATATATACCCAGACAACAGTATATTATATCTAATGATGTACGTGAAAAAATTACACGCTTTTGATCGACTAAAAACGAGTGTATTCTCGTGTAACACGAGTGCAAAGTTGTAACACAAGTGCAAATTACAAATAGCACGCGCACGCTTTCAAAATTTAGTCTGTCTCGACTTTCTGTGATGTTTTTTTCATGTACATTATTAACAAGAGATTACATGATTTCTTTTGCAATGTGGTGAAATAAGCACTTGTAAATATTTCCAAGATAACAAATTGCACTTGCTCTACGGGCTTGTGGAATTTTCGTGTCTTTAAAAAATTTACTCTTGCATGTTAACACCAAATTGCACTTGAAATCATACTGTTTTCTATTCTAATATTAATGCGATTATTGTCAGATAATTTCTAAGACAGAAAAAAACCTTAAGGATGACAGAGCGAATGACGAACGCTCGGAACGTCAGCTTTGAGACTCTACTGTAGCCCATTTACATCATCAACTCAGTTGATAAAACCAAATTACCTTGTTTATTTAGCCATAAACTGGTATCTTTAAGGACTACATGACTACAAGCTCAATGCAGTCTTCATTTACTAAATTCACTTCGTCGATGTTTGCATTTCTGTCCCTCTGTCCTCGAGTTGTCATAGAAGTTCTACTGATGAATTTTTCCACAATTTTTGGAACCTTTTCCTTCCTAACCCTTTCTCGCAATTTTTTCTGCCATCCTCCATCGATGTAGATGGCGACGATCTTGGGAAACGCTAAAGTGAGAAACGTTAACAAAGTTTTCATCAACGGTGTTGTGTCAAAGCTGAACATAGTAGCCCAGGAAAACACAATTAACACAGAAAACACAAGCACTGAGATCTTCAAAATCAGTAGGCAGACACCTTCTCTGAGAGGCAAAAGTTTTTCACATGCCATTTCGAAGAGCTCTTTTGGAATTGCTATCACGTTGTCGGGATCGTGCGTATTGTTAGGTAGTTTTGGCAGCTGATCAGAGCTAGAAGGAACATCTTGAGATTGGGTACGTTTTGAGTCCATGTGGCAATCGTATAAAGTCAGGGCAAGCTCGTGGTATGTTTTCGTGAAAGAGCTGTAGCTTGACCAAATGTAATACAAAATAAAAACAGGACAAGCCAAGTATGGAACATGTTCCTCTGAGAAAGAGAGTTGTAGAACACCTACCAAAGCATTCAGAGCACCATAAGCTGCTGATAGCAAAAGGTCAAAGGCACGATACCATGAAACGCACGAGAGGGCACGGTGTGTGACATCAGAGAGAATGAATGATGAAAGCGATATTTTTGAATTTAAATTACTCGGTCTGTCCAAGTGGTCCTTGCATAACGTAATTACAGGAGCAGTGAAGATAATGCCTATGAAAGATGATAAACTTCCAAAAATCAATAACGCTGCTGCCACAACGGGTATACAGAGCAACAAAGAGATAAATAGTACAAGACGAATCACAAAACCTAAAGAGCATCTGCGGGAAGGAATCACCGTGACGGACTTTTTGAGATAATTTAGGAAACTCCGTTTGCAAAACCTCCAACTTTCTACCAAGATCAAAGGCTGGAGGCCCAAATGGTTTATAATTAGCTGAGGAAGTTCATCTTGACAGGAAAGGATTGCTGGTTTAAGAAACTTACAAAGGAAACAAGGCTTTGAGTTCAATGACCTTTTGGAGAAAAATGATATGTAAAAAGCCTGAAAACAATAACAAAAACCAAACAATATTCCGAAGAGCCTATTGCTTAATAGGGTATTGCAAGGAGCACTATGTTCAAAATCCGCAAGGACGGTTGCACTAATCAGAAATGGAAGAGGTATAATAAAAGCTCTCAAAATGAATGTTTTTGCCTTACACCAAATTCCCTCTCTCCTAGAAAAGAAATAATTTCCCGCAAGGCCTCGGAGACTAACGGGACTTGCTCCCTCAAGAATGATATGAGTAACGCCATCTTGCAAGATTTCCGTCGGGCAGAACAGACAAAGAAAGGCCGGAGAGTAATATATGAACACTCCGATAAATACAAAGGCGAAGAAATCCAACACCGTCTTTGGCCATCCCCTAAGCTTTACAGCTCCTTGAAGTCCTTCAGTGCTGTTCGTCCTGTCTGGTATGGTAAAATTCATGCATAGCCCAAGAGGATCTGTTTTCACAGCATGATGATCGATGCTTTCAAAGTCAGCTTCGAATTTAATAAGCTCACAAATGGCGAAAGAACGGTTGCTGTAATCCACAGGGCTTGAAACAGTCGTTCTCGCTGGTTTCAAAGTACAAATGGCACGTATTTCACTGTGTTCTTTGTGAAGAAATGGATTTATCGCGCTTTTATTCGGTGTCATTGAGTTAAAGAGTCGTTTGTTCACCAAACAGACTGAACAATGTTCTGAAGAGGATTCGCTTGAGTTAACAGACTTCTGGTTCGTGCATTTGTCATCTATTTGCTTCTCGTACCTTACAATAAGCTTGATTAATTTGTTGTTGATCGTCGTTGAATTCGCCATTTCTCGTTTAAGCACCGTTAGATCAGCCACGTGGGCAAAACAATTCCATTTACATCGTATTTTACTGCCGGGGCTGGCACGGTAGCTAAACGAGTTGTCCACGACGCGACCCAGAGCAACTATCAAAACCACAAAACGAATTTGAAAAGTTGATGGCATCCTCAAGGATTGATAGATGTCCACAACTGTCTAAATGAGACTATTTTGTTCTGCTTCACACAAAAGCCGCGATGATTTGCAAAGTTTGCAATGACTGCACAAGCGGATGAATTCGCCGAGTAAGCACAATTTTTGCTCAATTGCTTTTTGATAAATGTTCACGCGATAGTTAAATTTAGAAATTGAAACTGAAAGTCAAGTACGTGTAAATAATTTGTGTCCGGGAGTTAGATTGGAATTGTTGCGAGATTTACTGACGCTTGTAACACACAATTTGCCACTATCTCCGTAGCCTTTTCCAGGCGTTCAGTTAGTGGAACACTGTTAAAAGGAGCGCTGTAGTAAAATTGAAAGCAATATAGTCTTGGTAAAGCGAAAAAAAAGCGAGAAGCTTGGATGGGGGCGAAAATGGAGGTAGGTCAGGGCCATAGCCAGACTTCAGAACAAGACGAGGCAAGTTTCGAGCGCGGAAGGCGCGAGCCGCTAAGGGGGGCCTAGGGGCATGCCCCCCCCACCCAGAAAATTTTGAAATCTAGAGGCTCAGAAATGCTCTATTACGCATTTCTAGTGGCATTTTTCTTCAGAAAAGTCAATCTTGGGCCAAAATTAAGACGAGGCAATTATGCTAGCTAAGGCCCAGTAGGTTTGAATTGTACGCAATTCTTTAATATCGCTCTCCGTTTTACTGACTGGAAGACCGGAGCAGGCTACCATCTTAGAGTTTGGTTTGATATTCTTATCCATCAAGTGTAAGTTTTGCAAAGGAATCATCAAAAACAATCTTTGACCTTCTGTTTTCCAGCTGCATAATTCTAAAAAAATTTCGAGTTGTCACCTTTGTTTACCGTCACAACAAAGGGCTGACTACAAAGCAATTCCGACATATTTCGGGCCGGTTTGGCGGGTACTAATTTGCTGACGGGCTGGTTGTTCATTCGATTCAAATCGCAATAGAAGGGAAAGTTAATCCTCGAAGTTGGACCATGTGATTCATAGAGTCGGTGAGTGCAATTGCTATTCCACTGGTGCCTCACGCTTCGCTGATTCAACTTGTGGTAATCAGCATACATGCATGATCATTACCTTCATTGTTATTAAACATTACTTGCTTGAGTTATCTTGGTGTTGTTATTAAACTCTGAGTCATGAAATCTTCATAAGCGATTCCCAGTTGAACAAATTAGGTAACAGCTGATTTTGCAAATTTTTGTAAGTTCTTTGTTTTCCGGCCGTAAAAAATCTTATCGCAAAATTTTGTGCAAAATTGGATACAAGAGAAGCTATTCATAAGCGAACATTTTGAAAATCAAGCTATCAGTCCCTTTTGCATGTGTCATATGAAGAACTTTGCGTCAGGACTGGAAGAGGGTCTTTTACATCCCGTGACTGAAGGAGGCGAAAATTTAAGGTTATAAGTTTGGAACTTAAGTTTCGTTAACTGACAGATTCGAGTAGCTTCCGAAATTCTGAGGGGGAATTATCTCTTACCTTAAGAGAATCGGTGTGTCTTTGCTTTTTTGGCTGAGTCTCAAGACTACGAGTAATGTCATTTTTCTCAGCCTGTTTTCAGTGTTGGTCAGCCAAGAAATAGCCAATTTCCGAGATGCTGTCAGAAAGGATATTTTGGCAGTATTAGCTAGAAAATAAAGAAAAAGGAAATGATATCAGTTATTTGAGTCGTAGCAGACAACTTGGTGTGAACTGTGCGGTGTTGGGCTGATCTCGATTCGCTAACAGTGTTTATAGTTGTTAATTAGAACCAATTATTTTGCGTCTGTGCTCTTGAATTACCTTCTCCTTGAAATTCTAATCTACGACCAAAAATGCATTTGGAAAATTATCCTTCCCCTTTTCATTTCATTTACCCCTTTCCCCCTCCCCTCCTCCCTTCATTTACCACTTCACCCTACCCCCTGTCCCCATTTTCCTCCTCTTCACCCCCTAATATTGGTTTCAGCTTTTTATTGGCAAGGTTTATTGTCAGACACAACCCTCTCTCTCTCCGCTTCCAGTCCAGGCTTTTACAAGTGTTTTATGTTGTCTTTTTTTGGCCGGGCATGTTGTTATAAGGAGTCCTTACGTGACAGCAGAGTTAGTGTCAAACACAAAGTATATTTTTTAATGAAAAACTGTATTCAAACAACCAGAGAACATTACTTTTTAAATCTAATCTTAATATGACACGTTTTAAAAATAACGTGGTCATCCTTATGACGTAAACAAAGACGGTTTACATTCCTTAACAGTTCTATCCCTTTAAGGCTTTCGTCATCACAGTGTTTTAAACTAGGAATTAAACTTAAGTGTACTATTTACAGAATGCGGTTTTTACTAATGGATATGGAACTAGTAACAGAATATAATGCAAAACGAACACAACTTTTTGTATGTTTTTGTAGATATAACAGATTTAAGAAATCGTCGCGTAATGAAATGATGATTACTTGTAAAACTTCTCATCTTTAACCTACTTTGTAGATGCTCTCTTAATTTTCACGATTACAATTGCTCCTTGGCGGAAATATTTAAAGCGTTGTAAAACTCCACTTCATAAATTATCTAAAAAACAAGTTATGAGAGGAACAAACTTATCAAGTTGAACTCTTTAAGCCCCTTGATAAACATGTAAATTCTCATCTCTGGTCTCCTTACATTTTCTTAGAACAAGAATTGTGAGTAATTGTTCAACATGAGAGTAGTCTCTTTTCGGTGATCATCTCCTAGATTCTCATGATCTTTACTCGTGAGAATATTGTGAGGAGAAATGTGACACAATCAATCTTGGGGTCTAAAGTGTTAACCATTATATAACGAGATGTATATTATGACAATTAATGACAGTGCAAAGGGCTTCACAAAAACACATGATGGCACAACCACCATATTGATATACCAAGACAACAGTATATTACATATAATGATGTACAGGAAAAAAGTACGCGCTTTTGATTGGCTGAAAATGAGAACATTCTCGTGTAACACGAGTGCAAAGTTTTAATACAAGTGCAAATTACAAATAGCACGCTTTCAAAATTTAGTCTGTCTCGACTTTCTGTGATGTTTTTTTCATGTTCATTATTAACAAGTGATAAAGTGATTTCTCTTGCAATGTGGTGTAATAAGCACGTGTAAATATTTCAAAGACTTCAAATTGCACTTGTACTACGGGCTCGTGCAATTTTCTTATCTTTCAAAAATTTACCCGTGCATATTAACACCAAATTGCACTTGAAATTATGTTGTTACCTATACTACCATAAATGCGATTATTTTCAGATAATTTACAAGACACAGAAAAAAGCCCTAAGGCTGTCAGAGCGACTGACGAACGCTCGGAACGTCAGCTTTGAGACTCTCTGCGGTGGCCAATTTACATCATGAACTCTGTTGATAATACCAAATTACCTTGTTTTTCCAGCCATAAGCTGGTATCTTTAAGGACTACATGATGGCAAGCTCAACCCAGTCTTCATTTATTAAAATCACTTCGTCGCTGTTTGCATTTCTGTCTCTCAGTCCTCGAGTTGTCATAGAAGTTTCACTGATGAATTTTTCCACAATCTTTGGAACCTTTTCCTCCATAACCTTTGCTCGCAATTTTTTCTGCCACCCTGCATCAATGTAGATGGCGACGATCTTGGAAAGCGATAAAGTGAAAAACGTTAACAAAGTTTTCACCGAAGGCGTTGTGTCAAAGCTGGACACCATAGCTAACGAAAACACAATAAGCACAAAAGACACGATCATCGTGATCTTCAAAATTAGTATCGAGACACCTTCTCTGAGAGGCGAAAGTTCTTCGCGTGCCATTTCGAAGAGCTCTTTTGGGATTGCTATCACGTTGTCAAGATCGTGCGAATTGTTGGGTAGTTTTGGCAGCTGATCAGAGGTGAAAGGAAAATCTTGAGATTGGGTTCGTTTTGAGCCCTTGTAGCAATCGTATAAAGTCAGGGCAAGCTCGTGGTATGTTTTCGTAAAAGAGCTGTAGCTTGACCAAATGTAATACAAAACAAAAATAGAACAAGACACGTATGGAAAATGTTCCTCCCAGAAAGAGAGTTGTAAAGCACGCAATAAAGCATTCAGAGCACCGTAACCTGCTAATCGCAAAAGATTATAGATACCATACCATGAAACGCTCCCAAGGACAGCACGTGGGAGACAAGAGAAGATGAATAATAAAATCGATACTTCTTTCGTACTCGGTCTGTTCGATCTGTCAAAGTGATCCATGCATAAGGTAGTTGCAGGAGTTGTGAAATGAATTCCTATGAAAGTTAATAAACTTACAACAATCAATAACGCTACTGCCACAACGGGTATACAGAGCAACAAAGAGATAAATAGTACAAGACGAATCACAAAGACTCTAGAACATCTGCAGGAAGGAACCACCGTGGCAGACATTTTAAAATAATTTAGAAAACACCGTTTGTAAAACCCCCAACATTCTACTAAGATCAAAGGCTGGAGGCGCAAATGGTTTTTAATTAGCCGAGGAATTTCATCATGACAGGAGAGGATTACTGGCTTGAAAAACTTACAAAGGAAACAAGGCTTTACTTTTAATGAACTTTTTGAGTAAAATGATATGTAAAAAGCCTGACAACAATAACAAAACCCGGACACTATGAAGAGCGTATTGTATGATAGCGTTGTCAAAGGATCATAAAGTTCAAAATCCGCAAAGAAGGTTGCAGTAACCAGAAATGGAAGAGGTATAATAAAAACTCTTAAAATGAATGTTTTTGCCTTGTACCAAATTCCCTCTTTTCTAGAAAAGAAACAATTTCCTGCAAAGCTTCGGAGACTAACGGGACTTGCTCCCTCAAGAATGATATGAGTAACGCCATCTTGCAAGATTTCCGTCGGGTAGAACAGACAAAGAAAGGCCAGAGAGTAATACTGGAAAACTCCGAAGAAGACAACTAAGAGGACATCCAACACCATCTTTGGCCATCTCCTAGGATCCAAAGCTCCTTGAAGTCCTTTAGTGCTGTTCGTCCTATCTGGTATGGTAAAATTCATGCACAGTCCAAGAGGATCTGTTTCCATAGCATAATAAGCGATGCTTTCAAATCCAGCTTCGAAAT